TTTTTGTTTATAATTGACATTTTTACAGCAACTCTAAAAAAAATTGACTTTTTATACCGTTTTTTCAATCTCACGGCTTTGTTATTACATATTTCGTAATCGGTCCACCGCCATTTTGTAGCTATTTTTATTACTAACAAAATCATGTCCTAAGCATTTTTTCGTACAAAGTCATCCCGCTGAGTTATTTAAAGAAAACAAAATGTTTCACTATTAAATTGTTAATAACTTTTTTTCCTGATAAAATACTTTGTCAGCAAATTAACCTGTTATTGTACTCATCATTTAAAGTAGGCCTGTGTAGTTATTTCCGGGTTATCAAGGTTTGACACAGGCCGAACCTCTACCAACTGGACTATTAATAATGTCAAGTCACTAATAGAGAATATACAGAGTGATTCACAAATGGTGACAAAAAATGAAACCTCGTATTCTTTGGTGAATTTTAAGAGGGTCTTTCCTATAGTTTTTATTTAGGACGTTTCGGAAAAAAGATACAGGGTGTTAAACTTGAAAAAATGTTTTTAATTATTTTAAAATAATTTAAAAACTAGTAAGTGAAATAATTTGGAATTGGGCACATGTAAACATTGTCCAAAATCTGAAGGCTTTTAAGAAAATTTACATGCTCCAATGGCGGAGATACAAGGTATCGGTGGCATATTTTTCTAAATAAAATAGTACGCCAGTGCTTTACGTTAACAGCATGATATTTTCGGATTCGTCTCAATTTTCTACAAATTCCTACTCTCTTATGTTTTTCAGAAAAAAAGGCAGATTTTCGAGTCTTAAAAGACCAACACTTTTACTTAAATGACATGACAAGCACTAATCATTCGGTTATTTATTGGAATAAAGAAATTAATAACATCATCATTTTAATGATTTTATTTTAGTAAATGCTCAAAAATACCTCCATTTCCACGAACACAGGCCCGACATATTTTTAGTAACGAAAATGTAATTTGTTCGAAATTTATTGTTGCTTGAATCTAATGAAAAGTAATAATATATTCTTTGTTCTAACTGATCAGAATATCAAAGTTGCTATCGCAGCCGACTATGTAATTTTATAATTCGAATATCGAAGTGTGTTCTCAGTTCGTTTTTAAATTTTACTCGAAAATTAAGTTTTTTTCGAAAAACATAAAAGTGTAGTAATTTGTACAAAACTGAAGGGCGAATTTCAAAATATCAAGGTTGTTACCGTAAAGCAATGACGTAGGTACTATGTTATTTAGAAAAATATGCCACCGATACCCTGTATCTCCGCTACTGAAGCATCTAAATACCCTGTATCTTTTTACCGACGCGTCCTACATAAAAACTTTATACGAAAAATTCACCAGAGAATACGAAGTTTCATTTTTGGTCACCATTTGTGAATCACCCTGTACATCGAACTCCATGTGGGCTATGCGTCACTCAATATTCTTATTTTGTGGAACATCCTATATATTTTTCTTTCAATACATATTTAGCTTTTTAGGGAAAAATAATAATTGACAAAAATGTACGTATTTTTTATTTTCTAACTTGTAATTATCATCTTTGGTATTTAGGTATGCTATACAATGCGACTATTCAAATTAAAATTCGATTAGCGAATCCCGAGAAAACAGCTCTATTTATAGTTATTCAGTTTTTTCTTCTTCTTTACTTATCGTATGAAACTTTCTGTATAACGTTAGAACTTATTTGCCTCTAAATAAGTAAGGACAGATTAAATGTACCGAAAGTCATGTACTAATACTAGCCAGAGCCTTCTGCTCTGGATACTAAACTGCAAATCAAAACCAGAGTCGACATTCGATCACACTTCAGAGCGCCTCCGCAAATTCTAGGGAACTGCTGTTCGGTTTGGATCCTGACAACTGACCTTTCCTTTGAGAAATATTTTTGACGACTTAAGCTCCTCAAATCTTTTCCAATTTGGCGTCACTCTTTAGGTTTGTGCAGTAAGCTGCCATATGAGAAGTGGACTAAATGAATCGTACCAAATTCTTCAGTTCTTATCAAAAACTACACACAGGCACTATATATTTTTGATTTTGGTTCAAAATCGCATTTTAAACACGTTTAATAAAAATTATTTCATTGTTTTGTTTTTTTTATTGATAATAATAATTAAAGTTTTTTATGGTTTTGGTGAACTATATATAAATAAAATAATTTGAATAGTTTCCCGGATGAATATAAAAATAAAAAACTGACCTTGATAAAACAAATTTTAACCAGTTGAACCAGAAGTGACAGAAAAATAATTTCCTTATGATGATTACACAGGGTGTTTGGAAAAGTTTGTACAAAATTTAAGGAGGTGAAAGTAGAACCAAAAATAGCAAAGAAAGTTCCTATAAACATTGGTCCTCCATTGGTCTTTTCATTTGATATTTTTTTTAAAATAACTTTCTTTCTAATTAAGATAATGGAATCAAAATTGTAAGCAATAATCATACCATAAGGGTCTTTAACTATCATATTTTCATCAAAATCCGTTGTAAATAAAGATAGTTTTCTAATTTCGATTGTTTTTTACTCCTTTGAATTATCAAGCAAATAATATTTTTAATGAATTAGACTTTTTTGAAGAAAAAATGTCTGTGCTTTTTTTTCGAATTCTGCGTAGTTCGTCAAAATTTATTGTTTTTTAAATAATATATAGCTCAGAACAGTAGGTAACATTTTTTTAACATTTTCACATAGTAGGCATCTTTCATGATGAGTTTCATTGTAATGATCCTAATATAATGATTGTCATCTTCCGCGTGCTATCATTTAACTTCTTATGTTTTTTTTATTTTCTTAGTTGTGATCTTCGTGCTCGAATTTGTATATCATTCGATTTTTTACAACCATCATGCTTTTATTAACCGTGAATATGCCGACATGCATTTTATTTATGGTTTCTGTAATGGAAATAATCTGGTGGCTCAAAGAAAGTATCGGCAACGTTTCCCTGATAGAAGGCGACCTTCTGCAACATTGTTTGGGAAAATTCATGCATGAGCGATGGAATCAGGAGTCCTAACTCCAAGATATCGTGAATGTGGCCGTCCAAGGAGGCGTAGGCATGATTTATACGAATTAATTTAAAGATTTTTGTAACATAATCCTACTGCGAGTGTAAGAAGAGCGTCTGCTCGCTTTAGAACAAACAGTACTTATGTATGGCAGTTGCTTAAGGAAAATGATTTATACCCTTACCATTTTCAAAGGGTTCATGGTATGCTTCAAGAAGATCATGTCGCCCGCCTTCGTTTTTGTCGCACAATTCTTGATCGCCAACAAGATAATTACACATTCAAGCTTGCTTTACACGGGATGACGTTATCAATTTACACAATTTTCATACTATAGCGTGATGAAAATCCCCATGCCACTGTTGGAACTCGTCATCAACCAGGATTTTCAGTGAATGTTTGGGCCGGCATTGTTGGCAATCGCCTTCTATCTGGGACCATTCTACCGAATCGATTGGGAGGTGTTGAATATCTAAGCTTTTTGGAAAATTATATTCCAAATCTCCTAGACGATATTCCTCTTGAACTACGAGCAAACATGTTTATTGATTGGTCGTGGAAATGGCGCGCCCATATCATGACCACTTCGTTAACCGGACTTAATGCGGATGATTTATGGGGCGACGTAAGAAGAATGGTATATACTACGCCATTGACGAGTTGCGGCAACTTATTGGTGAAGATTACATGCCTGTATTTCGGTCCAGGGTGGACAATTTGAGTCATTGCACTCGGAATTAATTTTTTTTATGGTTTTTATGAATAAAAATTTATTTAAAAAATACATACCTATATACATTATTTAAAAAATAATTATTTCTGACTAAACAATGTAGAATTCGAAAAAACGTCGAGAAATTTTTTCGTCAAAAAAGTCTAATTCATTAAAATTATAATAATATCATTTGCTTGATAATTCAAAAAAAATTCTGTTAAGGGAAAACTATACTTATTTAAAACCGATTTTGATGAAACTTATGATAGTTAAAGACCCTTATGATATGATTATTACCTACAATTTTCATTCCATTATCTTAATCAGGAAGAAAGTTATTTTAAAATACATATATCCAAATTATAAGATCCCTTTGGATGGCCATATCTCAGTAACGGTATTCAGGAGGACCAATGTTTATAGGAACTTTTTTTACTATTTTTGGCTCTACTTTCACCTCCTTAAATTTTGTAGCAACTTTTCCAAACACCCTGTATTTAAAAATGTACTACCTACAAAGACTCCCTTAATTTATTTTTTACAATTCCTTATTCCAATTCCACTTTGTCCTAAATCCCCTTGTATAATATACAGACTTTATCAGATACATATAGACACCAGATCATCCAGTTCCTAATCTACCTCTTTTCTTCCCTACTATATGAACTTTCTAACATTTGAATTCACCAATGAAGGACCCTTATTCACTTTTTGGAGTATCTATTTAATCTCTATATGCCACTAGCTTCATATTTATCTTTCAGTATGATCGAACATAAAATCAATTATACACGAATATTTAGGATACCCATTTATTAAAAAAAAAAGTTAGAAACAAAATACTTAAGACAAAAATAGTATCAAAGCATATAAACTTGCACTTTTTTAACAAAAACATATACAGGATGTTTGTAAATAAGTGCGAAATATTTTGTGAAAAAAAAATCATTTAAACGTAGGTTGAAATATGCTTCGTTTCCGAGATACAAAGTGTTATAATTTTAACTTTTTATTTATTTATATTAATTACTTCAAAGAGTTTTAAAGATATTGACTCGAAATTTGAAAAACGCTTTGGAGGGATAAATGTGCATTTTTTGGGGTGATCCGAATATTTCTACTTGTACCAGTGGCGTTCGTGCAAGATTACCACAATATTTTTTAATAAAAAAAAATAGTACGCCACTGACTTTTTGCCCGTTTCGGTATTTTTTTAGAAATCCGCCATCAATTCCGAGTGACATTGGTCTCTTCAATTTTTTTCGTAGAATCCACCGTTTTTGAGGAAAAAACATATTTTATTGCAAGTTGTGTATTTTTAATTTCTATTGATACATTACATTACAACCTACTAGAGGTTGCTGTCAATGTTTTTAAATAAAATACAGCCATGAAATTTCGAGTCAATATCTTTAAAACTCTGAAATAATTAATAAAAATAAATAAATAATTAATTTAAACATCTGGGAAACGAAACATATTTCGACCTCCGCTTATATGAACTTTTTTCACAAAATAACTTCGACAACCTCCCCCTAAAATATTTCGCACTTATTTACAAACACACAAAACGATAGAACAAATAACTATTTGTTTATAATTTATGTTTCATATTAATGTGATTACTAGCTTGCTTAAAAGATTTTTTTGTTTTTAAAATCGGAATCATTTTTTCTTCAGAGGCGCTGCCGTTTTTCCGATTTTCTGATTTTGGTACAGTAATTATCAAAACTCCATCGGAGGACAATGTAGATTTAATTTTCTTCAAATCGTAATTCTGCGGTAACTCATATGTTCTAGTGAAATGTCTCGATACATACCCCTGATCATCCTTTTTTTCTTCATGTCTTCCTTCCACGATTACGATTCTTTCTTCTACTACTTTTACAGAAATTTCATCCGGTTTAAAATGCTGAACGTTAAGATTAATTTTAAATTTATCTTCCTCTAAAGGATACAGTTCATGCCATTTCGAATCTAATTCAGGATATTCGATAACAGATATTTCGGGCCTTGGAAGATGTAAATAAGCCGTAATTAAACCAAACATTTTGCATTTACTTACAGAAAGTATATATTACTTCGGCTGTACTCTGGACTACAAATAAACATAAATACGTTATCCAAAATTTTAATACCTATCTAAATCTGCAATGCGTTTTGTACACACAGGTTATAATGTTATTATTTGTGCAATAGTAACAACTTTGAATGCTCACTTTTTTGATATTTGAACTTGAATACAAATCAAACGTTTACTAACCTATGCTCTGTTCTTGAACCGTTGAACTTCGATCGAACGGAATCGAACTTTTCTAGAATATGGAAGGGGAATTGTTTTATTTTCTGTGACTCGGGTTTGGAAACAAACTGTTCATCGAATATTAACAATAATAAGTGCCAGTAGTAACCAGCAGAAACATTTTTTTTAATAATATATTATGGTTATTTTTTATTTTCCCAAAGTTATATTTATTATCATAAAATATATATTCTGCCATTATTGTCACTCAACAAAAACAATATGATTATTTAAATTTATTTCAGAAATAAGGTACAATTACAAATACTACGACATTTCGTCACTTTATCACATAAACTCAATTAATACGTATTCGTTTAGGGCCCCGCTTCGGAGGCTAATAACTCCTCAGGGGTGTAACTTTGTATATAGGTACCTAAGTTAGGTTAAATTCCAATATTTTGGACACCCCTACATGCACCTGACTTGTGTCGGTTCTTATTTTATTTTATTTATTTATTTTATTTAGTTGGAAACAACTGCCAAGACAGGACGGAGTCCAATTATAAGGCAGGTATAATACAAATTAAAAAACAGATAACATTTGCATTAACATAATTAAAACACAAATAGAAAATACACACTATACAGGGTGTTTCATAATTGAATGTCAATATTGAAGGGTGTTAATCTGTGCGTGATTTTAAGGCAAAAAGTTCATATAAACATAGGTCCGTTTTCGCTTTATTTTTGATATACAGGGTGATGAATATCTGTTTGTAAAATTGTTTTTTTTTAATAACTCCGAAACTAAATTAGATAGTTTTATAAAACTTAGTATGTGTAAACTAGGTGCAGAGACACGTCTTTTGCATAATAAACGAATTTTCATTTTTAACCAGTGGCGTCCCAATTAACTTCAACCTCATTATTTTGAATGAAAAAAATGATACGCCACTGCATTTTTGAAAAACAAAAATTATTGTATAAATGGTGCTTTATTTTGTAATAAAAAAGATCTCTTGAGTTTTTTTCTTATCTTGCACTGTTTTTTAGTAAAAAAATAAAGAACAACAATAATTATCTGTACGTGGAATGAAGTACTTTTTACACATTTTATGGAAATAATTCTTTTACTAGATAACTTATACACATTATTGTATAATATTATTAATAATTACGATTGACGATCAACAAATAACAATTTTGTGAAACGAAAAAAACAAACAATTACATCAGTTGTTGAAAATGCCCTCCACCTGCAAGGATACATGCTTCAGCTCTTCTTCTCATATTAGTGCGGACTCTTTGAAAAATGTTGTCAGTGTTCCTTATTACATCACAGGAAGCTCTTATGCGATTCCTCAGGTCTTCTACAGTGTTAACCGGAGTGTTGTAAACCAGAGTTTTCAGATGCCCCCATAAGAAGAAGTCCGCACTATTCAAATCTGGGGACCTGGGGGGCCATTGTTGGGGTCCACCACGGCCTACCCATCGGTCATGAAATGTGCGATTTAAATATTCTCTTGCTTCTCGATGGAAATGAGCTGGTGCACCATCATGCATGAACCACATTCTATTTCTAGTTAAAAGTGGCACTTCTTCAAGTAATACGGGCAAATCCTCCTCTAGAAACCGACGATATGTACGGCCGTCTAGCCTTTGTGGCAGAAAAAAAGGTCCAATTAAGTGATTTTCAACAATTCCAACCCAAACATTCACGGAAAATTGTTCTTGATTGTTAAAGTTCACAATTGCATGCGGGTTTTCTTCGGCCCAAACATGATTGTTATGGAAATTTCTTATAGCGTTTCTAGAGAAGTTAGCTTCGTCTGTAAACATTATTTCACAGTCAAACAAGGGATTTTGCGCAATTTTCTCCAAAAACCATTGACAAAAGTTGATTCGCAAAGGAAAATCTCGAGGAAGTAAGGCTTGGACCCGTTGAATATGATACGGGTATAACAGAAAATCGTGAAGAATTCTCCAAACTAGAATGTGCGAGATATTCAAGTTATTTCCAATTTGTCTAGTGCTAATATTAGGATTTTCATCAATTGAATTTAAAACTGCTTCTTCAACTTCTGGAGTTCTAGTAGTCCGATGGGCACCTTTTAATTGATTATTTGGCTTAAAAGTACCTGTTTCAGCCAACGTTCTATGTATGTTTGAGAATGTTCGTCTATCTGGTGTGACTCTATTCGGGAAACGCTCTTGATATAATCGTTTAGCCTCTGGCGCTCTGCCATCAGCCAAGCCATACATGTAATGAATGTCTGCCAACTCTTGATTAGTAAACTCAACCATTATCAAATAACACTGTACAGGTATTTTAAGTATCAAAATTGAGTTGAATGAACTGAACTGTCAAAATTAATAAATCACAACAGTAATCAACAACCACAGCCTACTAGGTAATCTTTATATCATGCTTTCTGTTTGGCTCAATGTGGGTTAGTATGTTGTTCTTTATTTTTTTACTAAAAAACAGTGCAAGATAAGAAAAAAACTCAAGAGATCTTTTTTATTACAAAATAAAGCACCATTTATACAATAATTTTTGTTTTTCAAAAATGCAGTGGCGTATCATTTTTTTCATTCAAAATAATGAGGTTGAAGTTAATTGGGACGCCACTGGTTAAAAATGAAAATTCGTTTATTATGCAAAAGACGTGTCTCTGCACCTAGTTTACACATACTAAGTTTTATAAAACCATCTAATTTAGTTTCGGAGTTATTAAAAAAAAAAACAATTTTACAAACAGATATTCATCACCCTGTATATCAAAAATAAAGCGAAAACGGACCTATGTTTATATGAACTTTTTGTCTTAAAATCACGCACAGATTAACAACCTTCAATATTGACATCCAATTATGAAACACCCTGTATATAAATTCATAAGAATAGCGACTTAACTTCTATTGAGGATACATCTTTTAATACTGGAAGCATTACAACAAAAAATATCAAGATGATCCTGATAACGATGATAATTCGAGCACATAACATTTATTGGAGAAAATTGAAGAATATTTGTTCTTGGTGTTTTCAAATAAAATAAATAAATGTAGCGAGTTCTACATCCCAAAATATTAAAATTCAAACACTCTAGTAATTCCCTACAATCAATCATCCCATTTACAAGCTTAAACAGAAACAAAACAGAAAAATAGAGCCTTCTTTGAGCTAAGTCATTAAGTTGAAACCTGGTTAATAATTCGGATTGAGGGATTCCGCGAGGTGGATAGGTATTATCAGATCTGAAACTTAGATATTTAAGAAATTGCCTCTGAATCTTTTCTAGACTGTTTTTACGAACTTCATAGCCTGGATTTCATACCACATTAGCATATTCAAGTTTAGAACGAACCAGTGAATAATAAAGCGGTTTAATAGTGTTCACCGAAAACTGTTTAGAGTTGCGAGTGATAAATCCAAGAGATTTATAGGCTCTTTTGGTAATAACATTAATATGATTAGCAAAAGTTAGTCTGGAGTCGAACAAAACACCTAAATCCTTAGATTGGTCACATTTTGTTAAACATACAGTATCAATGTTATATGCATACTTAATAGAATTAAAATTGGTCTTTCTGGAAAATGACATACAAAAACATTTTTTGATATTAAGTGGTAGGGAGTTAGTGTCACACCAAGAGTTAACCGTTGATAGATCAGATTGCAGTTTCAAACAGTCCTGGACGTTTTCGATACACCTGAACAATTTTAGGTCATCTGCATACAGCAATGTATTACTGTCAATACTCATATTTATGTCGTTTGTGAATAAATTAAACAAAAGTGGTCCTAAAACCGAACCTTGAGGGACACCTGACGTTGCGTGTATATTAACAGACTTGAAACCACGGTACTGAACATGTAACATTCTATGACACAAATAGGACTGCAGAAAATGAGTAAAATTTAGTGTTAAGCCATAAGAAAATAATTTTTCCAGTTTGTCAAACGCTTTAGACAGATCAGTATAAATAACGTCAATCTGACCTCCCGTATCTAAGACTTCTGATAGATGCTGATTAAAACATACTAAATTTGATACTGTGGACCTACCTGTCGTGAAGCCATGTTGATTTGGAGAAATCAGAGACTTAAAATTTTCCATAGTGTAGGAAATACTAAAGAACCTAGAGATAAGTTGAAAATGAACGTTAAAAGCTTATACGGGTGTATTTAAATAGAGGGGCATAAATGATACCAGAGATTCCTTGGGTGAAAATAAGTCGATTTAACCGAACATACCTATATCCCAAGTCGCATAATAAAAAAGATACAGGGTGTCAAAGTGAAAAATAAAAAATGGTTTTTCCTTAATAATTTTTATAATTTTACTCAGAAATGTTTCAAATTTTCAACAGAGAGGTTTTTGAATCATGAGAAAAATAATATAATAATGATTTTTGAATGTCGAGTACGAGGCGCCCTCTGCAGGCATTGAATATGTAGTAACTTTTTTGCCAAACCCCGTATACAGCTTTTAGTAACAAATTATGAAATAATGAACTTTTTTTAACAAAAAAGGTATACTTATTGAAAATGGCTAAAGCCAACCGTTGAGGAGATATTTTTAATTTCATAAATTAGTGTTACGGATTTATACCTCCACGAGTACCAAGGTTCGAGCTGCTAAAATAAATTAAAAAATCGAGTACGTAAATGTCATTGGATAATACTCGTAAATTGCAATTTTGAAATATTAGTTTAAAGTGTTAATTGATTTTAGTCACTATTTACCTGCGTCCTAGTTGTTAAATAGTTTTGGAATAAAATAACCAATTATGTATACTAATGACAAGTATGTCGATATGTTGCAAGTATTTTTTGAATGTTACAAGAACTGTGTTGCTGCTGTACGACTTTATCATGCCAGTCCAAGCATTCTGTCACGGATTAATGTTAAATTTGCAGAAATTATTACCTGGACAAAAAAAATATGACCGTATAGAAAATTAAATTTTAAATTAAGTTTCTTGTTCTTTAAACTCGATCCAATATGGCGAACATGGTTTAAAAAATCGCAAGTTGAAAAAAACGGTGTTTCTAAAATAACTAAAAAAATATAGCACGGATAGAAAAATTTTAAATGAGAAAGTTGTAGGTTTTAAAAAGATCTATCGACCGATTTTTTGAAAGTATCGATTGCTTTGTTACTTTTCGAGATATATCGAAAAAACCGTTAAAAATCTTCTCTTTTCTCTTCTTCTATAACTCGTTTACATTTACGTGCCCATATTTGCTATTTACTGCAAGCATAGCCCGCGGCAAGCCAAAAAAGTACATTTTTGAAAAATTTAAAAATATTAATTATTTTTCGAGATATATCGATTTTTTGAAAAAAAGGCGCTCTCGAAAATTGGCTAGATCTTCTCAGCGGATAGCCCTACAGTAACGATTTTCGGTTTATTTTCTTCGTAAAGAGTTATATTATCATGCTGTTAAAAAATGTTGACGATTTTATTAATTTTAAGGATCAAAAAATGACTGAAAAAGTTGCACTTTTTTTGGGTATGTTTTTTTCAAATAACTATTTCAATTTTTATTATTTTTTTGTACTTAATCTGGGGTAGCTAAACACGAATATTATAGCATTTTCGCCTTAGAAGCAAAATAGACCCGTAAATGTTTAGTTTTCTTTCTTTAAAAGTCATTTTCATAAAATAAAAATTGAAATAGTAATTTGAAAAAAACATACCCAAAAAAGTGCAACTTATTCAAAGTCATTTTTTGATCCTTAAAATTAATAAAATCGTCAACATTTTTTAACAGCATGATAATATAACTCTTTACGAAGAAAATAAACCGAAAATCGTTACTGTAGGGCTATCCGCTGAGAAGATCTAGCCAATTTTCGAGAGCGCCTTTTTTTCAAAAAATCGATATATCTCGAAAAATAATTAATATTTTTAAATTTTTCAAAAATGTACTTTTTTGGCTTGCCGCGGGCTATGCTTGCAGTAAATAGCAAATATGGGCACGTAAATGTAAACGAGTTATAGAAGAAGAGAAAAGAGAAGATTTTTAACGGTTTTTTCGATATATCTCGAAAAGTAACAAAGCAATCGATACTTTCAAAAAATCAGTCGATAGATCTTTTTAAAACCTACAACTTTCTCATTTAAAATTTTTCTATCCGTGCTATATTTTTTTAGTTATTTTAGAAAAACCGTTTTTTGCAACTTTGCGATTTTTTTTAACCATGTTCGCCATATTGGATCGAATTTAAAGAACAAGAAACTCAATTTAAAATTTAATTTTCTATACGGTCATATTTTTTTTGTCCAGGTAATAATTTCTGTAAGCATTTCTCTATAATGCTTGGACTAATATCCCAATCGTCGTATTCCTGCTAGAAAAACTTTTGCGGCGGTAGAAAGAAGACTTTGAGGATACAGATACATTCAACCTCTCCTGAAGGTATTGGCAGAAGACATCTTATTCGCGATGTAGAACTTGAAGAAATTGTCCTTATCAATTTACAAGATCAGAATTCTGAAACTAGTACCAGAAAATTGGCGACACAGTATAACGTTTCACATACTACGATTTGGAAAATTGCGAATGATAATCTTTTATACCCCTACCATCTACAACCTGTGCAGGAATTGACTGCTGCAGATTTACCTAACAGGATAGATTTTTGTCAATGGTATATGAGCATTTCAAGGGAAAACAGAAATATTTTGTTCAGTATTTTGTTTGGTGATGAAGCGTCATTTCAAAGACATGGTTTAGTGAACCGTCACAATAATCACTCATGGTCTGACAAAAATCCTCATTAAGTTTGTACATCCGAATTTCAACATAATTTTAGTTTATATGTATAGGCAGGTATTGTAGGAGATTATCTTATTGGTCCGTTTATTCTTCTTCGGCGTCTCGGCGGAACCAAATATTTGAGATTTTTAAATGAGCAACTCCCAATATTGCTTGAAGACGTGCCACTAGCTATCCGTGAGAACTTGTGGTACGCACATGACGGAGCTCCTGCTCATAGTACATTAACTGTTAGACAATGGTTAAATTTAAATTTTCCTGGGAGATGGATAGGTAGAGGGAACGATGCACCAGTCAAATGGCCTGCGCGATCACCGGATCTCACACCCATGGACTATTTTTTATGGTGTCACTTAAAAAATATTGTTTATTCCAACCCTATTGATAGTGTGGAGATGCTTTGTCAAAGAATTTTTACAGCAGCTGAGGAAGTAATGAATGACATACATATTTTTTCAAGAGTTCGTCGTAATTTGAATCGTAGAATTAGACTATGCTTACAGGCTTTTTTTTATTGTCAACCAGTTGTTTCTCTTAAATTATCTATTGATTGTTGTTAAGTGACTCTCGGTTTCAGTTGTTTTGCTCTTTTTTCTAATAATTATTATTAAACTAACAATAAATAAGTATTTTGCAATATTTTTTCACCTGAACTGTTATTTCATATGAGATTTCTTTAATGCAGGGTTTAAATAATTTCACATGCACAAGAAAATGTGTTTTTTAATAAAGATACCGAAAAAACATTATGCGACAAGTGTATTCACACCCGCTAAAATAATACGCAAAAAGAGTAAATTTAAAACAGGAAAAATAATGTTGTCTCAGTTGATTCCTGCGCCCCCTTTTGGTCGAATTTTAAAATACAGATACTGAACTAATAAGTACTGATAGGAGTGGTAAGCAATGCGTTCTGAATTGAGCTGAATTCTGAATCAAAAGTGTCCGTTTGTACCTTGGTATTCGAGGTATAAATCCGTAGCACTAATTTATGAAATTAAAAACATCTCCTCAGCGGTTGGCTTTAGCCATTTTCAATAAGTATACCTTTTTTGTTCAAAAAAGTCCATTAATTCATATTTTGTTACTAAAAGCTGTATACGGGGGTTGGCAAAAAAGTTACTACATATTCAATGCATAACGTTGCCTGCAGAGGGCGCCTCGTACTCGACACTCAAAAATCATTATTATATTATTTCTCTCATCATTAAAATACCTCACTGTTGAAAATTTGAAGTATTTCTGACTAAAATTATAGAAATTATTAAGGAAAAAACATTTTTTATTTTTCACTTCGACACTTGTATCTTTTTTATTATCCGACTTGGGATATAGGTATGTTAGGTTAATCGACTTATTTTCACCCAAGGAATCTCTGGTATCATTTGTGCCCCTCCATTTAAATACACCCTGTATAAAACGTTAGCACAATCTTTTAGCAAAAACGCCGGAATTCCATCCGGCCCTGATGTTATTTTCCGTATAGATGAGGTCTACTTTTAACAAAACTTTGTGCGATCGGACTGTACTAAATTGTAGCAGGTAGCTAAAATTTAATTCCCGACAATCCGTCTTTGTCTATGCCGCTTCAATTTCTCGGTCCATTTCTCTTATAAGTAAACAATATAAAAACAGCATTTCAAAACATGAGGCTACTTTATGCATCATAACCGGGTTAAGAGGGTTTTTAGTAATTCAAATAAAATTATTCAATATTATTATCAAAATATTTATTTAAATTTAATGAATAGACTTTTATTCCACAAAAAAATATATGTATTTTGAAAATTCAAATTATGGTGAGTAAATGTAGTGTTGTATAAATGTACAATAAAGAAAATAAAAAAGTAGGTATATTAAAATTCATCCTCTGAATATTCTAATTATCTTCGTCTCCTAGATTGATAACGATAGGTTCCACAGTAACGTCAATTAAATTATCGAGTTCCCACATTTTCTCCTCTTCTTTTTGTACATGATGTATACATCTTTGCCAGTTATCTGCAGTTACTCGTTCCAAGGAATTTTTTAACAAAATTTTCACGTCACTTAATTGAAACGTCGTATTATTTCGCGCTACATCTCCTTTTACCTGCGCCCAGACTAATTCGATTGAGTTAAGTTCACAGTGATAAGGTGGTAACCGTAGTACCGTTATTTGGCGATTTGTTGCCATTTCATCGATAACATATTTTTTCTGATCTTTATTAAGATTGACAAGTGTCAAAAGTTCCTTTTTCACCATATTTGTTTCAAAAGAAATGTTTTTTCCGGATAACCATTGAATTATATCGGCTTTCCTCCAAGCAGTCGTAGGCGTCCGCTCGGTCTGTCGTGAATGGTAACTGGCATTATCCATGACAATTACAGACCCCGGAGGAATAAGATCCAACATCTGTGTAAAATACTCTTCGAAAACATCTGCGTTCATGTCTTCGTGATAGTCACCTGTATTTTTAGATTCAAATAAAAGTAAACCGCCATCTACAAAACCACTAGCACTACCTACATGTGTCACTATTAATCTTCGCCCTTTACCTGAAGGTGCCTTGAACCCTGTTGAAAGTCCATCCAAAAATGCTTGTCGAAAACTTTTTACATTTTTATCTTGCCATACTTTTGTTACAGTATATCCCTCGTTGACCCAAGTTTCGTCTAGATAATAAATATTCCTCCCTTTGTCACGGAATTTTCTAATTGATCTTAAGTAGGATCTTCGCCAACAAATAATTTCATCTTTATCGATAAGAACTGACTTCCTGTTCTGCTTTTCCCAGCAAAAATTCGACTGTCGTAAGACGGCCCATAATTTGCTTCTACTGATTTTTGGCAAATCGTTGTCCTCTGAAAGTTCACTTAAAATTTTGTTTAGCGTTGGTATTTCTTTTTTAAAATAAAATGAGTGTACTTTAGTCACTAAACACAAGTCGAATTTTACTCTACTGCACTAGCACGTCTTCGTATATTCAGCTCTAAGACTGGATTAATCTGTCACAATACACTGGCTCCTGCCCTATGATGTATCCAGTAAAATATACTAATGTACACCCATTACCTGTTAGCATTAGTGTTACCCGATAATTATCTGAAACGAAATATTAGCACGACCATGGCCGGTTCTTATCTCAGGGTTTTATTACTCTCTTTCATTTCCAAACAGAGTATAGTATCTTGTAACTTGTATTTTAAATACATTTTGAAAGTATTTTGACCAGCTCTGATGCCAATGTACATGATTTTTTTATTTATTTTAACTGATCAAAATGGAATGGAGAAGGGAAAAATGTTTAACACTTATTGATGAATAGGAAAACATCCCGTATAATCCAAATAAAGTCACAAAACATATAATAGAACTAAAGTGGTATACAGTACATTTATTTTAATGTGTTGCAATATAAAAGTATTCAAATTTTGAATTTTGCTTTGTGTTTTTCTTTGCTACAATTAATATTTTTTTTTAATCTGGACACATTTTTTTCAGATTTCATGTAGAAATAAGAAAATATTTTGGACCATCAGGGCAGGAATACCTAACAGCTGACCAGCCCACCAGAGACCTTCCAAAAGGTTGTTATGATACAGTGGATGGAATATATAACCCAAAATGCAAATTTATCTTGAGCCACAATACTTGTGATAATGATGTATCGTATGTAAAACAAAATCCTTATTTCTAATTACAGTTAATCAACAATACATTATGCTTACAGTTGATTAAATTATTTAAATTTTTACTTTAAATATTTTTTCTCATTTTAGGGACTTCTTTTTAGCACCACAAATCGAAATATGTAAAAGGTAATATTCTTGATGAACAATTATCTACTATTAAGATATTTGATATAGTTATTCCATTTTGTCTTCTTTAGGAGATTATCTCAAGAATATATTCTCAAAGGGCGAATTGTCAAAGAGTAAGTAACTAAACTACTATTAATTCTAATTTTGCATGTTCTATTTTTTACGAATATTTTAAAATAATTGCAAATAACAAAATTTGTGATATACAAAATAAATTTTGGATCATCGAAATTAAAAAAATATTAAGCAATTAACACCTTAGTTATCACATACATACGTCATAATTTATCTAACAATAAGATACTAAGATAGTACACGTTAAAAACCTCAGAAAAACTAATAATTTGCATGACAAGATTGTTAACATCCTTGACGACAAAATGAACATATTGCTTTAATAGGATTCCAACTGAAGACAAAATAAAGTGGATAAAAGAGAACTGCAGAAAAGCCTGGGACGAACCCACTGGTTACCGACCAGATTTATATGAAAATTGGAATGCTGGTAGAAGAAGAGAACCAAAATATTTCGATTTTACAAAAAATACAACAAATTTGAAGCAAACTGATAATTATTATCATGAGATACCATACAAAGATTCTAATTTATACAGTTTTATCAAAAAAGTAAAGAAACCACATCTAGGTAGGCTTAGCATATTTGAAAGGCTTCATTCAATTCATTCAAGTGTATGATAATAAAATATTTATAAACTTTGTTTTAAATTAAAGCAAAATATATATGAATCGTAAATATATGCTTATTTCAACTCATAATTTTTTCCTCATTTTTCTCATTAATATTTAAAAATATTTTCTTAAATCTGAATTCAAACTAGTAGAGCAAGTAGGAGATACGGCTACTGCCACATAACTTGGTGGTATTGGTACAAAGATCTTCAGTGATTCAGGTCATCGGAGCATACCTCTCAAAGTTCACTGCTAATGGTTACATTTTCTTAAAAAATTACGACATTCCTCTAAGAAAAAATATTTTTTGTCACCTTCAAAATGCCTTTTTTAAATTTTTTAATGAGAATTACCTCTTGACTTTTTACCGCATTGGAACAAATTAGCAGTTTGTAAAAATGAATTGAATATTTTGAACCATGCATTGTACAAACAAAAGTTTATATTAATATCTTTTTCTGTTCGAAAGCAAACAAATATTTGTAACATGTCACATATAACACCAACTGACCTTGAAAGCACTTCTGCATGAATGAAACGCAGAGAAAGAAGGAGGGCCTCTAAGGCCGGTTTTTAGCCTGATTTATTTTTGGCTGAAAAAATCTGAATTTTTTTTTAATACCTATTAGCAATAGGGAGATTTTAGGCCACCTAAAATTTAAGGAACGTTATCCGTTAAACGTTATACTGATCATGCGCAGTTAATGAAAAATAAGGGCCCAAATATTTCGTTAATTCAGTTTTTATAACAGGATTTACCTTAATAATTCCGTTAACCGTAAACGTAACATATATCCTGTATTATTAATATTATTCTAGGCGTAAAACCTCTTTTATGTTATCGATAAACGCTACCTCTTTAATTACATCAAGTATTTGATTACATGCACAGAACTGATTACATGTACTTATTATGGCTGCACTGGAAAATAATATTGAAATAGTAAGTTATACTTTATTGAGATAATTTTGTCGGATATCTTATAAAACGTAATATACCACCTACAGTATGTATGTATAGAATATATTCATTAATAATTAACAAAATTAATAAGCATATCTTCCCTGTAAATAAGATAACTTGTTTCATTTGGCAATGGTGTGTATACCGATACGCTTATTAGCGTAACGTTATTCCAACTTAAATTACGGACAACGTTATCGGTTATTAATGTTATCGGTTATTTTCGATCTACTGCGCATGATCAGTATAACGGATAACGTTTAACGTTGTTCAAATAAGTGGCTTAAAATCTCCCTAATACTGAATCGTTTCCACCCTAAACGGACCAACCCCCTCACCCTCCTTTCCCCTTCCATCCCCTTAAATGCCGGGGAAACCATCGCTTATTAGAGGAATCTTTAATAGACCGGGAGATACTCGTAGACGTTCAACGACGTCTTTCTCGTTTATGCCTTTTAGAGTACTGAAAGATACATTAGAGACAAGTAAGATTATGGAAAAAACCGATGTGCCCGCCGGGACACCTATGTGAAAATTTAATTTTCTTTTGCAAAAAAATAATGTGTACTTTTCCAAAGCCCTATTTTCTTTAGACCTTAGTAGGACTTAAGCCAATGTTTTTTNTGTAACATGTCACATATAACACCAACTGACCTTGAAAGCACTTCTGAATGAATGAAACGCAGAGAAAGAAGGAGGGCCTCTAAGGCCGGTTTTTAGCCTGATTTATTTTTGGCTGAAAAAATCTGAATTTTTTTTTTAATACCTATTAGCAATACTGAATCGTTTCCACCCTAAACGGACCAACCCCCTCACCCTCCTTTCCCCTTCCATCTCCTTAAATGCCGGGGAAACCATCGCTTATTAGAGGAATCTTTAATAGACCGGGAGATACTCGTAGAAGTTCAACGACGTCTTTCTCGTTTATGCCTTTTAGGGTACTGAAAGATACATTAGAGACAAGTAAGATTATGGAAAAAAACGATGTGCCCGCCGGGACACCTATGTGAAAATTTAATTTTCTTTTGCAAAAAAATAATGTGTACTTTTCCAAAGCCCTATTTTCTTTAGACCTTAGTAGGACTTAAGCCAATGTTTTTTATGAGCTTTTCGAATATAATGTCATATGTATTTCTAATTGGCATTAATGAGAAGTTGGTAGACAAATAAAGATGTTTTTCACATTTTCTTACAAAGTTTTCCATTTTTAGGTCCTTTGCGACACTTATGCCAAAAAAATTTTGTGATAAAATCGATACTTCTCTTCAACTTATGAACATGGCGTCGCTGTACACATTATTTTTTTGAAAAGGAAAATTGAATTTTCACAAAGGTGTCCCGCAGCCCATCTTTTAACTTTAGTTTATTGTACTTGTCTCTCGGTTACCTTTCAGTACTCTCAGAGGCATAAACGAGAAAGTCGTCGTCGAACTTCAATTCCTATGAATCCTACATATGAAGAGTTTTTTGGGTCGCTGATAACGAATCTGGTCTCAGAATCACGGAATTCAAAATGGCGGATCCAATATAGCTGACAAGAAAATTTAAATGTCTTCAAAATGCATGATTTTTTTGTAATGGGGATTTTTGGGTCTATGATTACAAATCTGGACTCTAAATCACGAAATTCTGAATGGCGGACAAAAAAATTAAATGTCTAAAATGCATGAATTTTGGTTGTGGGGTTTTTTGGATCTCTGATTACGAATCTGAAGGCATAATTACGAAATTCGAAATGACGTATTCTATATGGCGGACAAAAAAAATTAAAACAATCTTCATAATCCTTAAATATTTGTTTATATAGAAACTTTCTTGGATCACTGATTACAATTATGAATTCAGAATCACGAAATTCAAAGTGGCTAATTAAATATGAACAAACATGTATGTATAATTATTAAATTTTTCTTTTTCGTTTTATTCAATGTAAATGTGCGTCATCTCATTTAAGGGGTTGGAGGGGGAAAGGAGGGTGAGGGGGTTGGTACGTTTAGGGTGGAAACAATTCAGTATTGCTAGTAGGTACTACAAAAAATTTTCACATTTTTTCAGCCAAAAATAAATTAGGCCAAAACCGGCCTTAGGGGCCCTCTTCCTTTGCTCTGCGTTTGGAATTGTTTGGAAAACGAAGGTGCTCATTTTCAACATTATAAATTTAATTAATACAATAAGTTTTTGTTAGCTGAATAAAAAAATTTTGTTTTTGTTAGCATTATAAGGTAAATTAATTTACCTATAATTTACATTTAAATATTAAAAAAAAAATGAATTAAAGTACTCAAACTTTTTGTATTTTATTAACAATATTTTCATTATCTCTAAATAAAAATAGATTACAAAAGGGCCTATATTTTTAAAAGAGCAAGGACCCTTTTCAATCAAAAAATACTTTTATCAATTTTTTTCTATTGAAAANCAGAGGCATAAACGAGAAAGTCGTCGTCGAACTTCAATTCCTATGAATCCTACATATGAAGAGTTTTTTGGGTCGCTGATAACGAATCTGGTCTCAGAATCACGGAATTCAAAATGGCGGATCCAATATAGCTGACAAGAAAATTTAAATGTCTTCAAAATGCATGATTTTTTTGTAATGGGGATTTTTGGGTCTATGATTACAAATCTGGACTCTAAATCACGAAATTCTGAATGGCGGACAAAAAAATTAAATGTCTAAAATGCATGAATTTTGGTTGTGGGGTTTTTTGGATCTCTGATTACGAATCTGAAGGCATAATTACGAAATTCGAAATGACGTATTCTATATGGCGGACAAAAAAAATTAAAACAATCTTCATAATCCTTAAATATTTGTTTATATAGAAACTTTCTTGGATCACTGATTACAATTATGAATTCAGAATCACGAAATTCAAAGTGGCTAATTAAATATGAACAAACATGTATGTATAATTATTAAATTTTTCTTTTTCGTTTTATTCAATGTAAATGTGCGTCATCTCATTTAAGGGGTTGGAGGGGGAAAGGAGGGTGAGGGGGTTGGTACGTTTAGGGTGGAAACAATTCAGTATTGCTAGTAGGTACTACAAAAAATTTTCACATTTTTTCAGCCAAAAATAAATTAGGCCAAAACCGGCCTTAGGGGCCCTCTTCCTTTGCTCTGCGTTTGGAATTGTTTGGAAAACGAAGGTGCTCATTTTCAACATTATAAATTTAATTAATACAATAAGTTTTTGTTAGCTGAATAAAAAAATTTTGTTTTTGTTAGCATTATAAGGTAAATTAATTTACCTATAATTTACATTTAAATATTAAAAAAAAATGAATTAAAGTACTCAAACTGTTTGTATTTTATTAACAATATTTTCATTATCTCTAAATAAAAATAGATTACAAAAGGGCCTATATTTTTAAAAGAGCAAGGACCCTTTTCAATCAAAAAATACTTTTATCAATTTTTTTCTATTGAAAAGGAAATGGAGTGTGTCTAATGTTCAATGTTTGTAAAGAAATGTAATATATCATGTACTCCACTGGATTATCTATCCTCTGACCACAGATAAAATAGCTATCGCCCCAGACCGCTACTGGAATAGACCAGCAGTTTTAAATTTCCGAATAGCCGATGAGTACAAGACCAGCAGAATTTTAGGAAGAATCAAATGCAGCAGCCCGCATTCCTACGTGTATCCCAGCAACATATAAACAACGGTTTGGCAATGTTGTCACGTCGTATACTTACGGATTTATTTTGTACACTTTTTGATCAATGCCTGTTTTTTGCGTTACTGTATTTACTTAAATGTAGGTACTGATAAAAATGTTTTAAAGAATGAACGAATTGGTACCTATGTAATCAATTTAGACGATCGGATATTCTGTACCGGTTATTTAATCATAATTTGGTTAATTACCCTGGTAGCACAATCGTGTGCAATTCTAATACAAGTTGTTTCCAGTTTACTTGAAAAGCCAAATTGTGTCAGATTGTTTTGTGTCTATTGCTGAAATTTATATCGTTTCTTATGCAAGATACTTTTACAATACTTGCACCAGACTTAAAAAGGGGTGAATTAGTATAAGTCAAATACAATACGTCTTACTTAATTTTAATGTAAGTCTGCAACATAGTCACTTGCTTTAATTTACCCCTTTGTGCTCAAGTGCCCTGAATCAAATCCATTGAAAGCTTTGATCAAGACAATTGCACAATGAATCTTGCAGTAAACCTGATGCTGATTTCAGCAGTGGGTACACAGCAGACTTTTATAAGTGTTTTGTGCAAGATTTTGCTACCAGGGTAGCTACTACTATTTCCATTTTCTGGTATTGAAATACTGCAGAAAATATATTTCCAAATAAACAAAATTCGTAATGATATTTTGTAATATAATTTTTTTAATATTGATGAGAAATTTATTTAATATACAAGGTTATAGGTTTAATAATTAAAGTTATAAAAAAACTTTAAATACAAAAAGTACGACTTTTCCTTTATTTCTTTTGACATCATAATTTGCTGGCATAAAATATATGTTTAAAGTAAAAAAATCATTAAAAAAATTAAAATTCATCCTTACTGAAATAACGAACAACGATTTTTATAACTAACCTTTACAACAACGTAACCTTACCTAACCTAAAAACGAAATAACATTAAAATACCTACAATTTTTACAAATTTTCAAGTGATGATACAGTTGAAAATATTCTTTAATTTACTATTTATTGCTTTAAAAACAAATTCAGAATTATCAAACATTTTGTCCTATATTTTTTATTTGAATACTTGTAAATTTTGAGGTCTTCAATAATATATTTCGTTGAAGTAACCCCACAATATACATATATGTCTAAAATACTGAATCGGGGCTGTTTTCCGGGCACTTAAGGTTTCTAATAGTATTTTTTACAGTGTTCATTGACGGGATTCGATTGACGCACATTATTGTTATTTGATTCTCGTGCGAGCGGTCGAACTGAGCGGACGTGTTTATTGTAAAGTGAAGTGCATTGCAACGAGCAAGATCTACCTGCCTTTATTAAGGCTACCTGGAAAGTATCCTTTTCTTTCCTCTTAACCACCGACCTAATCCCCGGCTCAAGCATAGAGGCCGTCGGCATCTTTGTTACAGGTATATGTGCCGGGGTTATGCCCAGGTAAGTTTTTACTTTATTTATCAGTTATTTGCATTATTTTTGAATACATTTCTTTAAAATTGCGACCCCCGACAAACAATATACCAGACAGACTAATACACCAAAAGACACGTACGCCCCCGTAAGGGGGCATCCCCACACGACTAACACTTACACACCCACCCACCCACACACACACACACACA